ATCTCTTTACTTACCAAGCCTCTGACAACTACTGTAACCGAGCAATGTGCAGGTCTATGTCTTCTTGTGTTTTTGTACTATATAGCTTACCATGCTGTCTAATTATGTTCATATTTCTTTTGTTTCAGTTCACTTTTATATTGATTGTGGATTTCCTTTACTACAACGTTCACACCTAAAGTGTTGTTGTAACTTTTTTCTGAAAAAATGAGCTTCGGCCTTTAATAAAAATTTACAATTTAAAAAGATAAAGTCTCCATTGTTTGGGCCTTAAATAGGAGACATTGGTGCCAAAAACCGGCGTTCTCCCCCAATGACACATGCGTGGCATCGTTATTGGCGTAAATGCATGACGTCATGACGCTCAGCACCATCGCGTCACGCGCCCTAACACTAGGTGTCACATGATTGCAGACATTTTTAAGAAGTCATTGGGAGAAGACATACAGGATTAAACAGCAATTGTCCACCACAAGGGCAAACCAGAAGAGGGACAAGCAATCTGCCAAATCAAAGAGCACACATATAAAAAATATATATCAAAAGCACATTATTATAAGGACATATGCTCATGGTTCCAAACACCTTCTTCAAAGTCAATTAACTCATCATCCAACTTTAACAGTTAATTATTTAATTAACCACAACCACATAAATTGTACATAGGTATTACATATCCAAAATCATAATACATCAAAGGTAATAGGAACGTATTACAGAATTTTTTTTCAAAATTGCATACAAAACTTATATAAAGAAATAGAATACATCAAAACTATGCATATATAAAAATATAAGCAGTGCACAAAATATAAAAAAAAAATGAAAAAAACAAAAAATCAAAAAAGAAAAACAAAAAAAATGGAACTGCATGGTGGCTGAATATCAGGGCAAGAAGGGTTTTAAACTCAATGGGGTTTATTTACTAAACCTGGTTGACTCAGCATCTTGTCCACTTCTGCATAAAAACCAGTTAGCTTCCAGGTTTTATTGCTGAAGCTTAACTGAACATGCTGAGGTTAGAAGCTGATTGGCTACCATGCACAGGTGCCAAAGATTCTGAGTCAACCAGGTTTAGTAAATAAACCCCAATGAGTCAATCTAGCCCGGAGGCTAAGTCGCCGCCAAATTGTGTATCCATCTCGCTTCTTTTTGAAGGATAGGGAGGCCCCAATCACCATCTCTGCGATCTATATGCACTCTTTTAAGAGCAAAGAACCTAACACATTGTGGGTTCTTGGAGTGATACTAGGTCCCATGTCTACCAATGGGGGATGAAATATCTCCCGTTTGGATGGCTGGAACATGATCAATTCTTTTCCAGAAATTGCATTTGGTTTTGCCAATATAGAAGCTACCACAACTGCATGTCATCATATAAACCACAAAAAAATATTTTGGAAGCGGACTGACACTATTACCGTCATAGAGGGAATCGATTTCTTTTTCACCAGAAGGACTCTGACTGCTGGGAGCTACTTTTTTGGACCATATAAGCACTTTAGCTGAGTTAGTATGCATTCTACAACATTTATAAATGGATCTATTTAGTCTGTCTTCCATTTTTTTTTTTCTAGAGAAAATTAGAATAATGTAGAAAGTTTGGGAACAGTGTAATGGAGATATAGGGGTATTATAGACATTTTGGCCCTGATTTACAAATGTGCATAGATGGCGTAGGCTAAAGTCTACTTTTCATTGGAATCTGTCTACTTTTAGATGGCAAAGACATTTATAAAGAAAGCGCCTAACAAATAGACACGAAAGCAAATTTACTAATGGCCACAATACAGGAATCCGTCTAAAAAAACAGACGTCCTAGAAGCACGTCTAACAAAACAAAAAATCCCTGTAGAAACATGTTCATGTTGAAATGTGCTTTCCCAAACATCTGGACTTCCCTTTAAAGAATATATTACTTTTCAAAAAAAATTTTCAGTGGGTAAAAAATAGTTTTTTGAGGGAATTCATGACAGTCAAGAACTAGATGCTTTTCCAATGTCTATGTAGGGATATAAATGCGCATGTGCAGAACACAATTTAGCCATCTACTGTGGGCGCTTTATTTTAAGACACTGTTTTAATAGTAAATCTCTGTGTGGAGTCCTCTGCAAGATGGCAATCGATCCTGTCTACTGTGTTTGACAAACAGCACTATTTGTAGCTAGGCATATCTTTATGTATTCTAATTTGATTTCCTTAGTTCTATTGATTCTATTTTTGTTTATTATCCTTTATAATGATTTTCTGTAATGGTTTTACATATTTCAAAGATCTAGATAATATATATATTTTGACAGCTGAATCTAAAATTAAAGGTGAAGCCCGATGCCAATTTTTTTTTTAAAATGGCATGGGGACTCCCCCAAAATCCATACCAGACCCTTATCCGAGCATGCAGCAAAGCAGCTCAGGAAAGGGGGGGGACGAGCGAGCGCCCCCCCTCCTGAAACATACCAGGCCTCTTTCCCTCAACATGGGGGGGTGCTTTGGGGCAGGGGGGCTCCCCCCAAAGCAGCTTGTCCCCATGTTGATGGGGACAAGGGCCTCTTCCCCACAACCCTAGGCTGTGGTTGTGGGGGTCTGCAGGCAGGAGGCTTATCAGAATCTGGAAGCCCCCTTTAACAAGGGGGCTCCCAGATCCAGGCCCCCCCTTTATGTGAATGAGTATGGGGTACATGGTACCCCATACTCATTCACAAAAACAAAAAGTGTAGTGTGAAAAAAGACAGGACACAGTCTCTGACAAGTCCTTTATGAAAATAAAAAATGAAAAGAATGTCCCCCCGCAGTAAATCCATCATCAATCACTATGCCCGCAGCAGATCCATAAAAAAAGAAAAAAAATGCACCTGACGATGTCTTCCAGCTGTGTGTCTTCTCCAGTGGATTGACAGTTCTTAAACATGTAAGGGATGGGGCCACCTGGGGGACATCATGCATGTGACTCCACCCCATGTGACATCAAGGGGGGGCTGGGATCTGGGGGCCCCCTTGTTAAAGGGGGCTTCCTGATTCTGATAAGCCCCCTGCCTACAGACCCCCACAACCACAGCCCAGGGTTGTGGGGAAGAGGCCTCCCTGCCCCAAAGCACCCCCCATGTTGAGGGCATGTGGCCTGGTATGGTGTCAAGGTCCTACCTTTCTTCAGAGCTTGTGCATCTCCATGAGCTGGCCTCCATCTTGGTTTTCTGCAAAGCATGGTGGGAACCTTTATGCCTTCAGGCTTCTGCGGCTCCTCCTCAGAAGGGTGTGGTTGAGCACATTTAAACCTGCTGTCTGCAAGTGTGCTCTGCACTTGTGTCCTGTATGTTGCCCTGTTGCAAGCTCTTGTGTTGTTCCCATTGCTCTCCTGGTAACCGACTCGGCTTGGACAAGACTACTCTCTGCGTTAACCCTTTATCTGACCTCCCGTTGTTGAACCCGGCCCGTGACCTGAGTCTTCTTTGCCTACCGTCTAGTACTGTCTGCTCCATTGTTATTGACCCGGCTTGTCTGACTACTCTACTCGTGATCCCATCTAGCTCCCACCAGCTGTACGCCATTGGCGGCAGTGTTATCGCAGCTGGGGTCACTCGGGGGCCGCGACCTGGTCTCAGGCTGCGTCAAGTCCATCCCCACCATCAGGGGCCCTGGTGAAGGGTAGCCTGGGGCTTAGACTCCGCGCCCGGAGGGACTCTGGTCTGTGGGGTAGTGGCTGTCGTCAGTCGCAGCGTGACCGTACCATAGGCCTGCCTGCCCATTCCATCGTTCCTGCCCTGACATATGGTTCAGGAGGGGGGGAGCTTGCTCATCCCCCCTCTTTCCTGACCTGCCGGGCTGCATACTCGAATAAGGGTCTGCTGTGGATTTTGGGGGGGGACCCTCACGCCATTTTGTTTTATATCTTGGCATGGGAGTTCCCCTCAAAATCTATACCAGACCCGAATGACTTGGTATGGATGGGAGGGGGACCCCATGCTGTTTTTTTTATTTATTATGGTGTTGGTTTTTAAATGTAATTGCCGCATTGTTTTCTTCACTATAGCTCATAAATTCAGCTGTCACTTTACCCAGAGCTAAAAGAGAGAAAGTTTTCTTTTAGTTTATTTCCCCAAGTTAAAAGAAACAATGTTTCCTTTTAGTTTCTTAAAAGAAACAAAGATTCCTGTAACTCCAGGGACAGCTAATCTTGTGAGCTATAGTGAAGAAAAAAAAAGCTGGCAATTGCATTTAAAAATCTGCACCGACATACACTTCGTATTGCGCAAAAAATATTTAAAAAATCGTAAACCAAGGCATTATTTTCAATGGATTTTAATTAGTAAACTGAAAATGACATTAATCGAGGCATTCGTAAACCGAGATACCACTGTATTAGTATTGCAATCCTTTGTATTGGGATACATAGAACCAACATACATCTGAATGGGTGTAGTGATACTCCCGAAGGGGCGGCTTAAGTTTGTTCACTCCGCCACTCTGCCTCTCTACCCCAAGAACTGTCTCAGGCAATAGTGTAAGTGCAAGGACCAATGAAAAGCACACACTTTATAATAAAACATAGAGATCAGCTTTACTATAAGACCTCTATGAAAAGTAATAAACATTAACCACAAGCCTACAGGGCACTTATACCCCCTTCCTGCTCAGGCCAATTTCCAGCTTTCAGCGTTGTCTCACTTTGAATGACAATTGCACGGTCATGCAACACTGTACCCATATGAAATTTTTATCATTTTTTTTGTGACAGATAGAGCTTTATTTTGGTGGTATTTGAACACCTCTGGGTTTTTTATTTTTTCCTAAACAAACCAAAAACCACTGAAAATCTTGGGGAAAAAAAAAAGTTTTTTCATAGTTTTTGTTATAAAATTTTGTAAATAAGTGATTTTTCTCCTTCACTGATGTGCGCTAATGAGGCTGCACTGATGAACACTGATAGGTGGAACTGATGGGCACTGATGAGGAGGCACTGGTAGATGGCACTGATGGGCATTGACAGGCATCACTGATGGGCACTGAAAGGCAGCACTGATATATTGCACTGATCGGCGGCACTGATATGCAGCACTGACTGGCACTGTTAGGCGGCACTGACTGGCACTGATAAGCGGCACTGCTGCCCACTGATAGGCGGCACTGATAGGCGGCACTGACTGGCACTGATAGGTGGCACTGATTGGCATTGATAGGTGGCACTGACTGGCACTGATGGGTGACACTGAAAGGCAGCTCAGATGGGCACTGATATGTGGCATTGATGTGCACTGGTAGGCACTGATATGTGGCATTTATGTGGCACTGATGGGCACTGGCACATGGCACTGATGAGCACTGACACAAGGCACTGATGGACACTGACAGGTGGCACTGCTGAGGCTATACTGATCATCAGGGCACACTGATCATCAGTGCCCTGATGATCAGTGTACATGTCCCCTCCGCGGAATGCCCATTACCGGCTCTCTTCTCCACACGGCATTTCCCTGTTTACATGTGATTAGCTGTGATTGGACACAGCTGATCACATGACCGCGCCGACATCTTCAGCTCTTTCCATGGATCGGTGATTCGCTGTGTCCGAGGGACACAGCGCACCACCGATTGCCATGCTGCGTGATCACTGAGCCACGCATGCGCGCTGAGAATGGGAGGACATCATCTGTCTTGGGTGGCCGCTTACCATTGTCAATTCTAGTTATGATGGCCCGTACAAAGCTGGATTTAAGTAGTTATTGAAGTTACTTAAAGCTGGGTTTAAGTAGGTATTGAAGTCCCCTAGTACAAGAAGGGGAACATCTGGGTAAATAGCCATGAATTGAGCTAAACATTTTAGGGTCCTAGTGGAGAAGGGTGGAGGAATGTACATAGCAGCTATTATACAAGGAAACCCCTCTAACTTGCATAACAAGAACATGTATGAACCACACTCATCAATCTGTATGCTAAATATAGTACAATACTTATACCTCCTTTATTGCTAGCGTTGCATGAGACAGCTGACACGGGGGTGAACTTCTGAGCTCTATGCAGGAAGCTATAATCATAGTACTCCAAAACTCAGGAAAGATAAACTTTTGCCAGATTCATGTCATCTAATTTCCTTATTGAATGTGGATGTTAAACTTTTAGCTCGAATTTTGGCAACCAGCTTATCCCAGGTCAAAGGTAAGCTGGTTCCTGGGGATCAGTCAGGGTTTATCCCTTACAGATCAACTGCAAACAATATCAGGCACCTTTTAATATACAAATGCTGGTGGACAACCTAGGGGGGCAGGGCCATTCTCTCACTAGATGCTGTCATGGCGTTTAACAGTGCGAGTGGCCTTACCTCTGGGAAGTACTCTTCGGATTTGGCTTGGGTAACAATTTTATAAACTGGGTCCGAACACTTTATTCTGTCCCTAGAGCTAGACTCAATATAAATAATGAACTCTTAGCTAGCTTCCATTTACATAGGGGCACTTGGCATTTTCTCCCCTGCTTTTTGCCCTGTGCAGTGGAGCCTCTGGCCATCATGGTCTGTAGATCTACAGAGATATTTGAGTTCTGCAGAGGAAACACAGAAAAAAAATCCCTTTATGCTGACAACACCTTATTATATCTTGGTGACACTGCTACCTTACTAAAGGCACTGATGGAACCTTTTCCTAGATTTGGGGTGTTCTTCAGTTTTACCATCAATTGGAATAAATCTGCCCTTATGCCTTTGGATCCCCTAACTTTTCTCCTACCAGCTTGTGCCCTGCAGATACCAGTCACTACATTCTTTAAATACTTGGGGGTTATAGTCTCTCCTGATCTTAGCCAATATTTAAAATTAAATTTAGCTCTACTACTGGATAGGCATAGAGAGAAATGTCAAGCCTGGAGTAAGCTTTTTGATGGTAGGAAGAGTAAATATGTTAAACATGATAAGGGCACCACAGCTGTTATACATTTTTCACAATTCTCCTATGTGGATAGAGATAGTTCTTACCAATGGACTCCCAGTTTCAGGATTTAATATGGAAAAAAAACAACAGGCTAGAATCAGATTGCTGACTCTACAATATGGGAAAGATAGAGGGGGGCTAGCTGTCTCGCATCCCAAAATGTATTTTTAGCAGCACAATTTCAGTAACTAAATGGCTGGGGACTACGGGATCATCTGGATTCGGAAGCCTGACTAATCGTATTGACCAACCCAGCTTTACCAGCGATTTCACACTTAGAGATGGCTTTACCCGCACTCCCTTGTAACTGCCTTACAGCTATTCTTTTGTAGAAAGTATGGGATGTGTTGTATTCTATTAATAGGAGGAAGGATGACCAGTGTATATTTATAGAAAATTTATTTTTCCCGCAGAAACTAGTCCAACAGTTCTTTTCCAGAGAGATGCATTTATTCGGATAAAGATATTTGTTACAGATGAAAGAAATACAGCTGAATACTTTTAATTATTATAATGAACAACAGCCCTCAGAGTCCCATTTAAGATACTTCATATCAAAAATGGAGATACTACACCATCCAGCATATGTCCAATCTATAATATGCACCTAGGTAGCTTCCATGCATGCAATAATGCGAGTTATGATTTATACCTGTGCTTAGATATTAATGAAAGGAAGAAGCTCCTTCCTAGCCAAAAAAGTCATTTGATATACAGTTTACTGGAGGGGTTTCTGATTGGTTGACAAAACACTTTTGATCTTACATGAAAATACTTCACTTGCCATTACTGTAAATAACAATTAAAACCACTATAGTGTTTAACAGGTACACAAGTCACCCTTTCACCATTTCCTATGAATACCACCTGGAGTCTAATTACCATACCCTTTGAGATGTCTAAGTAGATAAACAGGCAATTCCCCAAATACCAAGGTGACCTTGCATAAAATTAACATATCAAAGAGTTATTTTGATGTGTAAAGTGGTGTTGTAACCGGCCTGTCCAAGAATGAACAGTATGTGTTTCAATATCTTCAATATATATATATGTATATATATATATATATAAAATTACAATATCCCTACAGGATGCTGTGTGGACTTCCCTAGGCATTGATGGTTATTTGGATATTACGCCCATCTGGCATAATCCTGTATCCTAGTTACCCTGAATTAGCTAAACTAAAGGGTTTTCATACTTTTTTGATCAGCTATTCCTAGACTCCACCATTCAGTCATTTAAGCAATTGCAGTCATATTTTTCTCTATCAAATACACAATTTTATCAGTAACTATAACTCAGGCATGCAATACAGGCCCATAAACACACTGTTAATATGAGCAAAACTGTGGCTCCACTCATTGGAGAAATGACCAGATCTAAGGAGAGGAAAAGATTGATCTCAAGAATATATTCAATCCTATTATCTACTATTCAAAACCCTGCTACTCTCAAAAGTATGGCACATTGGTTGAAGGACGTGGGCTAGATTAGTGGTGAACAGTGCGATATGGCACTTCAGTCAGTTTCCCTGATTTCGCTGTCTGCATCACATCTCTGAACTGTTTATACTTCATAGGGTGTAAAGAACCCCTGATGAGTTGTTTAGGTGGGGTAAAAGAGATAAACCTTTATGCCTGAGATGTAAATCTCACACAGTAGTTTTCATCCACATGATTTAGCATTGCCCGAAAACGTATTAGATATTGGACTGGGGTGATGCAAACTGTCTCATTAGTTGTTCAAAAAACTATTTCCCTGGATACCCTGATATGCCTACTGGGTGTGCCTGATGTGGAACTGTATAAACCAGGCATTTATATTATGGTTACTCATTTGCTATACCTTGCCAGGAAACTTATAGCTAGACATTGAATGTCGCCTACTCCGAAAACAATTGATGGAATATGTCAATGCTTTATTGTTAAGGGAACAACTCACCTTTAGACATTGTAATGCACTACACAAGTTTGAGCTAGTCTGGCGAGGCTGACTGGATATTCCAGGTTTAGCTCCACCTCATTTAGTTATGGATAGGATTCTCCAACTGTAATGGGTACAACAGATGGCTACTTATCTTTTCCTCTCTTAATATATTTCTCTTGATAATCTTTATACTCTTTGTCAACTGTAAGATTCAAAATGACCCTATATATACCAGCATTTTACTGGAACAAATCTGAGGCCTGATGTTTGGTTGAAGGTTTAGGTACTACTATTATTGACAGGACAACTAATGTTATGATAAAAAGGAATGTTATTTTACTCTGTATCATATTAGTTATGCTTATTTTATAATACAGTGAATGCAATCTGACATCTTAACTTCCATACTGTAGAGGATGTATATATTTCTTGTCATATTGTACTGTCAATTCTACACTTTGATACTAATAATAAGAGTTTGGAATAAAAAAAAAAATTTAATTACTTTCATATTTTTCACATACATGTTTACTATTTACACATTTTTAATTGGTTTGTTACTATGTTTTTCATATATTTTTATGAGCTCTTTAGAGCTCTGTACCCTTTTTTTTATTTATTTGTACCTCTATTGTCCTCTGGAGTTTATAGTTTGGTGTTCAGTTCCTGGTTTTATATAGGAAAATTCCCTTTCCATAGAGCAGTACACCAAATATTTATTTCTTCAAGGAACAGGAAGTGCTTGTTAGCAGAAACACATATGGGTGGTGTTGGTGGATGAAGAAGGTGGATGCTGGGGGTGGAGCAAATCACAGGCACCAACATGTCCCTGTCAATTCCTATTTGCTGAATAGGGAGTCCTCCCTTGATGGTCACTGTGAATACATGGACAAAGGTGGCCAGGCAACATTGCTCACAACTAATATATCACTCAGTAGGAGATGCAGGGCACAAGCCTTAGATGTCTGATGCTAGTTATTATTATACAGTATTTATATAGCGCCAAAGGGTATGCTCAGCGCTGTACAGTAAGCCCCTGTAGATCACTAAGAATTACAGAAAAGCAAGAAAGGAAGCAACAAGAGAAGCAAAAAAAGGCAAATAACAGAATCCAGTAAGGAAAGAAGCAATTACAGCAGAAAAAAACATAAGACAGCACCCAGTAAGAAGACCACATCACCAGCCAAATGTCTGGTGATTGACTGCACTGTATATGGGGGATCAGGCTACAGCACAGATGGGCATAACATCATAGGTAGATTCTTTACAGCCATAATTTAATTCATATAGGTCCAGTTCTTTCAGAAAATATATGGTCTGTTTTACTTTGATATTATTATGCATCCTATTAGTATATGCGAAAGTTGGTTCTCCCACATAAGATTCAAAATAGGAGGCAGACTGGCAGCAAAATGGTTACATACTGTAGAGGTATAGGACTTCATTAGCGTGTAATAAAGTAATATAAGAGGTGCACTTAACTGAACTGTATGATGTTGAACTGCTTTTACAGAAAAAGTTTTTCCTCTTATCTTATCTGCTGATTTGAAGGTCATGAACATCTGAAGTAAAGAATTACTTTGATTATTTGCAAAGAAGGAGACGGCAAGATCTGCATTGTTAGCTATTTGATGAACATAATAAGATGAAAAGTATTACA